CGGGAAGAGAGGACATGGAAATACCAAGTGTCGGCAGATTTTCCGGCAGTGTCTGACGGGTCCAGGGAAATGGGAATGTGGAGGGGGAGTTTTGTTTTTAAGATAGGAAATATCAATACCATGGTTTTGTGCTGACAGGAATGATGTGTTAAAAGAAGAAAATTTGATAACAGGAGAGGGGACATTGTAGTTCTCCAGTTCTTTCAAAGTGAATGGGGCTGAGCAGGTGGTGGGATGGTGCTGGGAACAGTTGGTTCACGCCGTGACTCAGTGGTGCAGGAAAGGAGAGAAGGGTGGAGGCCAGGGGAGGGAGTCATTTGGTGGTGAGAGACTTGAAAGTTCCCTTCTGAATACTTGCTTTTGCTCAGCAGAATAGGAAGCAAGGCTGTCTTTAACAAGTAGCAAGGAATGGTAGAGTTTTGAGGACAAAACTGGTGGAATCATCCACCAGACTGCTGTCCAAGGTGTCCTACTAATCATGACTGCAGCTGCCTTTTGTGAAAAATACTCAGGTTCCCTTGGTTAGATCGGGTCGTCATCACTGATGCTACCCTGTGTTTACTTCATGTTATACATTACACAACTCCTGTGCTTGTCTCATTTTTTATAGAAGTTAACTACCTTACTTAAGGTTAAATAGTGAGTGGTATAGTCACAACTGGAATTGGAATGTGTGACCCCAAAGGCAAGTAAGAGCTTCAAAGCCTCCTGCAGAGCCCTGGCATTATTTCTCATGATAGATGAGGTACCTGGCATTTGCAGGGATGATCCAGAAGTCTGTTCCTCTTCCTGCTTTGTTACTAACAAAGTGATGTGTCGGTTAGCAGTGCTTTGGGCTACAAGTAGCAGAAGACTCAACCACAATGGCTGTTTTATATTTCTCATGTAACAGAACATCCAGAGGTGAGCATTTGTCATTGATTTCACCTGCCCAAGCAGAGTTGTTGGGCACGGGCTTGCCACAGCTTTCCACTTTGACATTTTTCTGTGTTAGGCTTGGGTCCCAGACTGTTGTCTTGGTGTTGCAAGATGGCAGCTGCTGCTCCTGATGTCACCCTGCTTTCAAAGAAGGAAGATGGGGAAGGAGCTGTGGCTAAAGCACAAAGGAATATGTATGTCTGTTTTTTATCAGAGAAATTGTGTCTTTCTCAGAACTTCCACTTGGCACACTTCTGTTTCCTTCAATAAGTCAGAGCTGGGTCTTCTGGTCACCTCTGGCTGCAGAAGGAACGGGTCAGTACCTGCCTTCCTTGTCGGAGATTGAAGTAGTCTGTGGAGGAGGTGGGGATGTACAGGGGACAAGTGACCTAAGTGACTAGATTCTCTTGCCAGAAGAGAGGCCTTGGGTCATTTGCCATCTAATGTTGAGTTCCCTCCAAGCAGAACTTTCACATGATCCTCCTTATGGGTCACTGCCTGTCCATGGCGACTTTGGGCCTGTATATCAATCTGTGGTCCAGTTATCAGGTCATGGGAGGGGTGGGGACAAGTAGCACCAAGTACGGTAATCTTTGTGTAAAACCACTCTGCACATCCCTTGTCTTAGATGTCTCTCTAGTTCTTGGGAGGTTTCCAGTCAGTGAGGAAGAAGAGCAATGGAGGAGTCTTGGGAATAAGAAAAAGCATTTTTGATTTAAAAATATATATATCAACTGCAAAGATTTCTGTGCATAGAAGGTCCCCTTAAAAGAGTGGAAAAAAGTCAACCTGGAGAAGGTATTTGCAAAGCATTAACTGACAAAGTGTTAGTATCCATAAGGTAGATTGATATGTAAATTTTAAAATGTCAATGAGGCTGTTCACAGACGACTTGAAAGTTTGCACAACTTAAGGAAAAGGAAGATAAAACATCCCTTCAGACTGACAAATATTTTGGAAAGTTGGCTGAAGGACCTGTGGCAGTGGAGTGAGCATGAGAGCACTGTGGCCGGGTGCACACTGGTTCATCCCCATGGACCAGACAGAAAAATCGAGTAATGATGAAACCCTCAGCCGTGACCCTGCATATCCCCAGGAGGTCACGTCTTGGAGAGCTCTTACACTTGTGTTTGGGAGACAGTATGGGGACGATGATTACAGCACAGTTGACAATAGCGAAAACACTGCAAAGAGCCTCCGTGTTAATCAACACAAGAAGCGGTGAGACGGTGTCACAATCATGCCGTGGGATAAGCGCCATAGAGAACTACAAGAAGAGTAGATGAGCCCCACAGTGAGGAATAAAATAGCTAATTGTAGAAAGATCCACAGAGTATACTATCATACAAGAAAGTTAAAAGTCACACAAAACAGTAATATCTTTTTAGTGAAAAAGAAAATGCATGGAAAGTGATTTTTTGGAAGCAGTTATTAGCTTTTAGGAGAGTGAGGGGGTGGGAGGGATGCAGCAGGGTGTGTGCTGGGATCTGATTTGTTACACTTTATTTCTTGGGGCAGGTGGGGACCTCATTGTCATATTATTCTTTGTGTCTTTGGTGTGTCTGAATTGTATACTTTGGGTAGCTGTGTTTAACAGGGCAGGCAGAAGAGGAAAATTGAACCTTGAAGTACAGGCTTAGGAGGCAGGTGTGTGCCGACTTCAGTTGTCTGTGTATTAGAGCAGCACACAGCCTGCTGAGCGTCCAGAGTGTTGGCTTTCTAACTGGTCATTGGTGTCTGTGGAGTGTTTCCTGCACCGGAGAACTCTGTCATCACTCCCTGCTCCTGCCGCCTCTCCCCTGCTCCGCATGCCCAGATGAATGTTTGGATTGGATTTGTTTGTCTTTCTGACATTTTGCTGCAAACCCTACTGAGTTGAATCGGGTTATGAAAAGATAACAGATTATGAGTAAGTGATGCTGTGGGGCCAAGCTAGTCCCAGTTGGTCCTACCAGGCCTAGTGATTCAGAAGGGGCCTCCATTCTCTCTATTCTTGTCTCCTGAGGGCTTCAAGGCCCCATCCCCACCTCTGACTTTCTCTGGCTCTTGTTTGTGGTGCTTTTGGTGATGGTTTTCAGTTCCTAGAGGGCAGAGGCCTGGAGGTTTCATCTGGCAGCTATCAGTTTGCAGAGTTCACACTTTYAAGGCTAGAGCCTTACTCTTTGTGACTGCCCTAGGGCAGAGCAAAGAAGGGGATGAGCCAGAACACATGGGTTACATAAGTGCTGTTTGGAAGTATACTGGCAAGGTACAATTTGGGGGATGAATTTTTACATAGTTTGGTATAGTTCAGTAATTTTCCAGGGCCAGGAAAAACCTTGGGCTAGGTGGGAGGTTTCCCCCAGAGGGTTAGGATTCACCCCATTCTTCTTTGCATGAGAACAGTGTTTTGTTCCCAACAGGGACCTTGACAGGCTCCCTGTGGTGGAACAACCTGAAAGGTGAAGCAGAGAATTTTTGTCTTTTACCTGCTGTGGAAAGGCAGCAGCCATGACCAGGAGCCTAGGGTGAACTTGGTACAGAATCTTGCTCCTTTTATAGCTGGCTGTAAAAGGAGGAGAGCCGGCTTCCAGGCAAGCAGAGAAAGCTAATAAATCCAGTGTTCGCTTTGTTCCAGGCTATTTTGTTCTGCTTGGCCAACTTGGATGAACCAGTGGTACAATAAGGTTGACTATGTAATTGACCAACGTTGGCTGGGAAAGCTGCCCCCCTATTGTGGCTGTTTTCCTTTGAGAAAACCATATTGCTGTGTACAGTGGTGCACGCCTGTAATCCTGTTTACTCTGGAGGCTGAGGCAGGAGGAGCACAAGTTTGAGGCCAGAGATAGCAAGACCCTGTCTCAAAATAAAATTTAAAAAAAAAAAAAAAAAAGGAGGAAGAGCTAAGGCTGTAGCTTGGTGGACGAGTGCCCCTAGGTTCAGTTCCCCATATGGGGACGGGGGTGAGAAGAAAAGAGAAAAGAAAACCATATTTAATTTATATCCTTTMGCTCTAAGAACCTACTGTGAATATAGTATAAATAGCATTTGATAGTGACTTTGCTGCAGATCGTTCCCAGGCCTTTGTTTTTTCATTTTCCCTTGACTGTACACTACTTGTCCCCTCAGTGAACTCTGCCATTTTAATATTCCTTTCTGCCACATCACCACTTACCATTGTCCCTATTTCTCCTTAAGCTGGATAAGTTTGAAAAAGATGAATTTTTGATTCTCTTATTTTGAGGCAGGGTCTCGCTAAGTTGCTGAGGCTGGCCTCAAACTTGTGACCCTCTTGCCTCGGCTTTCTGAGTAGCTTGGATTACAGGCATGTGCCACTGCACCTGGCAACTTAGGTGAATTTTATTTTCCATAATCTAGGTTAAGGGTAGCAAACAGATTTTAACTCCTTGCTATCTTTTCTGATCCTCCAATAATGGCTAACTGGAGTTGTGGATTGATAAGGATTTTTTTTTTTTTTTTTTTGGTCTTTTAAATCCTTTTTTGTATTTTTTTATACTTTTTTAGTAATTGTTTTTTACAGGGCTGAGGACCGAACCCAGGGCCTTACGCATGCTAGGCAAGCGCTCTGCCACTGGGCTAAATCCCCAACCCCGATTGATAAGGATTTATAGGCAAATCTAAGCTCGGCAGGGAAGAGTGCTGATTGATGGCAGCGTCAGTGATGGGCACAGGGTTAGGGCTTGGGGCGTTTCCACAAAAATGCTAATAAAAATGTTAAATGTCAGGAAACCTCTTACTATGTCAGATTATGAATGAGAGAAATCTGTAAATGATTATATTCTAGGGGACTTCTATTTTCTTTTGATAAGGTTGTGTTTTCTGCATTTTTGACAGTGAACATGTATTAATTTAGTAAGCAGGGGGAAACACTATTATTTTGAAAAGAAATGTCTCACCTGAATGAAAACAGTGATTTGAATRTGCTGTGTTAGTACTTGATTCGGTAGTTGTAATATATCTAGCATGGGGCTAGAACTGCTCCTTTTCTTCCCTGTACTTGGACAAATCCCTGGACTCTGGCTGTCCTTCTTGCTGTAAGGGGGGCTGTGGGACTGGTTCATTTCTGATCTTCTAATTGTCAGGTCGAGGTGGTGCATCTATCTATGGCAAACAGTTTGAAGATGAACTTCATCCAGACTTGAAGTTCACTGGTAAGTGCATCATCTGGCTGAACTGGTTAGGAAGGGGGGGCAGATTTTGAAAGCTTGGTTCTTGGCTGTGATTCAAGGTAAATGCCTGACACTGTGGCATGGTGCCAGGCTGCTGCCCAGACATGGCGCCATAAAGAGTTCTGACAGATAAAACGGCGTCTCACAGAGTCCTCAGTGGTTCAGAGTCTTGGTTTAAGTGTTCTAGACTCTTAACTACTAGACCACTGTTGTAGACTAAAGGACATCTAAACTGAAGGTTTCCTCAGAGAAACACAAGACCTTGCTGGGTTTCTGAAGGCAATCAGTAACATGGGCCAGGGGTTAGCAGGGGTCATCAAGGGTCCAGGCTAGGACGTAGATGGGGACGGGGAGACAAGGTCATCAGAGTAGAGTGCAGTGACCRGCTTTGTGCGGGGCAGAGCACCAGCTTTGAGAGAGACAGGTCATCTAGGGCTGGACAGTAAGTGATGACAACCAGAACATTCCAGGGATGCTTCTTTGCATCCCTAGAATGGTGTAGCAGCTGAAGCCATGAGACTTATTCATACTCTTTCCTCTCTTCCTTTTTCCCTCCAGGGGCTGGAATTCTTGCAATGGCCAATGCAGGGCCAGACACCAATGGCAGCCAGTTCTTTGTGACTCTTGCCCCCACCCAGTGGCTTGATGGCAAACACACCATTTTTGGCCGAGTGTGCCAGGGCATAGGAATGGTAAATCGAGTGGGAATGGTGGAAACAAACTCCCAGGACCGCCCTGTGGACGACGTGAAGATCATCAAGGCATACCCTTCTGGGTAGACTCGCTGCCTCGCAGGCAAAGCCAAGTCTTCTGCTGTGGCCCCATCAAACCAGCTTCCAGGTGACATGTAACTCAGCTTAATTTTGGCCTTGAATATATTGGCTCTAAGGAAGCCTGGGGCCTTGGGTGAGTTAGGATCGAAGTGTACTTTAATAGAATGCTTCTCTTTCTTCACCTAGTGCCTGGACTGACGGGGCATTCGGAGAAATGCCTCCATATGTTTATTTACAGGTTTCTGCCCCCTGTGGATGACCCATACTTCTCCTTGCTGTGCATGTCTGCTCTGATACACTTGGAACAAAATGAAGCAGGCTGTGTCATCTCACAGAGCCTAAACAAACTTGTTCTTGAAGAGATTTATATTCTAGCCTACACTGCAGTCTCTGGTAGCTGACAGCCACAGAATTCAAACCGAGTAGTGTCTGTCAGCCCTGTTAACCCTGCACACCCCATCTTCATCTCCTGCATTTGTTCTTCCAGGGAACGTATGCGTCTCTCTGTTTTCCCTCTCAGAACCAGAACATCAACACTGCTGTTTCTTATGCTTAAACATCCCACACAAAGCCACATTGAATTTTTGCCAAATGAAAAATGCATCCAACAATCAAGTTTCTAAGAAGGTGCCAAGTGAGGAATGATAATGTTTAATAATTGAGAAAGGAATTTATTAGAAGGAAGCTGAGGCATTGACCATTTTTTCCCCAGAAGGAGAAGAAGTCTGTAGTGAGCACAGGACGGACCGCATTTTCCTCAGAGCAGCACCCTCCAGGAAAAGCACCGCTTATGTTTTTAACCTAAGACTTTAGAGAAATCGGATGAGATTTTTGTACTTTTTTTTTTTTTTTTAATCTTTTATGAGTTTTGGGGTAGGAGTAGGGATGAGAGGAAGTAAATACCTATGTAATACATAGAAATTTCCAAATAAAATGCTATTGGTGGTTAATCGTGGGTATGGTCTGACTGTAAATGCTGTTTGAGGATCTAACAGCCATTTTCATCTCAGGTAGATTTGCAGAGCTCTAATCTTCCAAGTCTACACATCATTTTAGGCTTGTGGGTCTTCATTGGGCTTTTTTCAGGAGCAGTTCTGACAAAAGGCAGAACCAAAAAAAGAATTAAATGATATCAGTTAGCATTTCTGAGGAAGAGGTGAGCTGTAGGTGAACCAGGTGGGCAGRCCCAGAGACCAGGGAAACCCTCCAGTTTACAGGGGGCCACAGGCAGATGTACTTCTCCTGGGAGAAGGGATGGTAACTTTAATATTCCTTATCACAATAAATTTTAAAGATAGTGATTTACTTTTTGTAATGGCCAAGGTGCTATATCCCACGGCTTCTTGACCTTCAGGGTCTTTCTCTTTCTGTCTTCCCTCACCAAAAACAAAAAAAAAGCCTAGCAACAAAGTATGTAAATGACTTCCTAAGGTCTCAGAGATGGTTTTAGTTTACAAAGTAATGTATGCTGGGATAATAGAAATAACATTTCTTTGGACTGGACTGGGTRGACATAATTGGAGCTGACTCAGAGCAAGGAATGAGACACCTCTCCATTAACCTCCCAGAATTCTAATCCTGAGAATTGCCACTTCCATTCAGGGCACAGGCGTGGTGGAAACATCCATGTTCCTTTGAAGTAAAGAAGGTTCTGTGTACAGGAACAGTTCCCTGTTTCTGGAAAGGTACACCAGGTAATGCCAAGGCAGCCACACAGGGACATGGACCAATTTTGGTAATGGATGTGACCTCAAAGAGACTGGAATTGGACAATCCTTAGCCACTCTGCCAGTTAGCCAGAGATGTAAACATTCCTGTTTCTGTGTGAGGGGAGCTTATTTAAAAGGGATCCTACTTAATTACTCTCTGAGAGTAAGAATCATGAGCACAAATCAGTGGGTGTGCAAGTACACAGATCAGTCACTTTAGCCATGTCTCAGAGGGCAAGGTGAGGGTGGCTGACGAGGAGAAGGCGAGGATCCATTTATAACTTGGAGATGAATGAAGGTAGGTGTGGGGCAGGTGGCTCATCTAGGACAGAAGAAAGACAACTTCGCTGGGGAAGAGATTGTAGACTTTCGAGGGGAGGCTTTAAACTGGAAATAAGCAGTGAAAGAGGCCTTCCTGAAAGTGCCCCTGGGATGGGTAGGAGAAGTTTGGCAGTAGGGTATATATGATGACCACTGGGCCCTGGCCCAGGTTTTCTCACCCTTTACACAGGAATCACAGAAGGAACCTGTCAGGAAGCAGTGTCTAGTCTCATTCAGCATTTAGCCAGATTCTATACTGACCAGCTCCCAGGAGATGGTGACAGCTGGTCCAGACCCCGCACCTAGAGCAGCAAACTCAGAGGCCACGCTCCCCGAGCACTTCCAACATGAACCTGGGGAGGGTTTTTTTCTCAGTGTGGAGCAGTCAAGACTATTAGTAAAAAATATCAGTCTTCTGCCTCCTAGACCAAGGCCCTCTGCCTCATCCAGGTAACCCTGGAAGAGTGAAGAGATTCAAAGCACAGGTTGAGTGACATCTTTTGCTTTGGCTGTTAAGATTGAGCCTTAAAGAACAGCGCCCTTCATCTTCACTCCAGTACACGCTATGGAAATCTGACCGGTGTGTGGCATGAGACTCCCTGTGTGGGTGCCACAGTGGGTAAGATGGCACACTTAGTAGACAAAAAATGCAGGGCAGGGGCTGGAGTTGTGGTTCAGTGGTAGAGCACCYGTCTAGCATGTGTGAGGCCCTGGATTCGATCCTCAGCACCACATAAATAAATAAAGGTATTGTGCCAACTACTAGAAGAAAAAAAAAATGCAGGGCAATTGGCATCAGCCATTATGATGATGGAAAAGGGCTCTGGAATCAGAATGCCCAGGTTCAGATCCAGCCCCACCATGTATCAGCAGGTGAATTTGAAAAGTGTCTCAATTTCTCTGTGCTTTAGTTTCCTCAACTATAAAATGGAGATAATGATCTTAACCTCATAGGACTTTTGAATTCGATGAGCAAGAACAGATAGTTAGAACAGGATCTGACCCCCCCCCCAAAAAAAAAAAAAAAGTGCCAGCTGTTACCAGTGGCCCTTGAAGCCATCACATACCGCCTCCCTGCTGCAGATGGAGCCCAAGGTCATGCATGCTAGGCAAGCACTCTACCACTGAGTCACACCCCCAGCCTCTCTCCTACCTCCTTATCCCAACCTGTTAGCAGCCTGACCTGGGAATAATCTCTCCACTCTGCTGATCTCTGAAAGCAAAGACTTGCCTTTTCCTTCTCACAGTCTTCTCGGCACCTTGTGCAGTGCTTTGAGGTTACTGCTGAATGAATCAAATAAAATGTTCTCCATCAGACAAAGAGATCCATTGGCAGAAATCACTGTACCCTGAGTCACAGACCCAGGCCTCTGCTGGCATGGGCAGCCCAGCCTTTCCTCTCAGCCCTCTGGAAGTCCTCGGCTTGATTTATTTTTGGATTGTATCTCTAGAATAAGTCAAAATAGCTTTTCCTGCACAAAGCGAATGATTCCTACCCCCAGATCTTCAAACCAATCTGAGGCACCACTGTGGCCCCTTTTGGCACCACATTCTGAGAGCATGTGGAGGAGGAGCATTGAAAAGCACATTTGTTAAAGTTGGAATTTGTTGCCATCAAGCACTTTTGGGAGCCTGGTTGCCTGTAGAATGGGTTCTCACTCCAGGAAAATGCTGGGGCAGCGGATGTTCTAGTAATACTCTAGACAGAAGCAAAAATGCAGGGGAAGAAAACATGATAGGGTCTCTAGGTTGACTTGATCCGATTGAGAAATTGGATCCCATTTGTACTTCCAAACTGATCATTCAAAACCACAGCCAGCCAGTTGTAGCAAGGTCTGAGGCAAATATGAGGCCTTTGTACACCCTCGGGAAATCACAATACCTCTGAAATTTGGTGTCCTCATTCATCAAGCCAAGATTTGAATTAGGCCTCTTTGGCCCCRGGTCTGAATCCAGGTCAATCAAAAGTTTCCTTCAGCTGCTGTCTCCATTTAGCATGCTATTTGGGAAATGGGCCACTAGAGGCCACTATGAATACATTTAGCCTCACAGCTTCTTCAAAAGGCAGAAGCCTGCCAAGGTTTTTCATGATTTTCCTAAGCCAGGCCTGCCGCCCCTTGGGTGTGGAAATCCAGCAACTGCTCAGATTGTGAGAGACTAGAATGGAGATGTGGGCCTGGCACCGGAACCTATGGAAACACTGTTGGCACAGATCCACCAGCCCTCTGTCCTGTCTATTGGACTAGGTAGAGGAGAAGCCCTCCTTCCAAGTGTGGTAAGGTTGAAGATCCCTGAGACCAGGGCCTGGTCCTGTAGCCAGCCTTATAAAGAGCAGGAACCCTAAAGGAAAAGAGAAAGTGTCTCATGGTTTGCAGATAACTCGTATTTTTCTCTTATTCCCCCAAACCAACTACTAACTTAGCTTATTTCTGGATGAGCAAACTGAGGACCAAGACCACAAAGAATGAATGAATGGATGGAGCAGTGGGCCCAGGGTCTGCATGGCTAATAAAAGGCAGGACTAGAACTTGAACTTGGGGACTTCTGATTACAAGTTTAGCTCTTTGTTATCTCCACCTTTGGCATAAGAGAAAGATAAGGAAATGAAAAAGAATCTTGTAGCAGGGCAAGGTCACCATCTGAGTTGTCCAACCTGACTGCTCCCCTGGAGTATTCTCAGGCCTGGCTGGCCAGGAGGCCCCAGCCTCAACTGTCTGAAAGAGGGTTCCCAGCAGAGCCCAACCAGGGGAGGAAGGGGCCCACAGGACCCTAATCAGTGTGTTTATTGGGTCATAACTATTAACCTCAGCACTCAGCTCTTCTCACAAAAATCACTTTTCTCTCTGTGAGAATCTGGCCACGACTCCATTAAGAGCTGCCGCCCCACAGACCTCGAACAGCAGGAGTGGCAGGGGAGGAGAGAGGACTAATATTTCTACTTCCTTATTATCCTGACAAGGAAAATGGCCATATCATATTCACTATATAGAAAAATCCCCCAAGGGAAAGGATATCCAAAGTTTGCAATTGTCTTTTTGGCAATATTTAGTTCTGAGAGAAAATGTTCCCTCTGTGCCTCCCTTCCTTGATTGTTTTTCTTTCTGTGATACTGGGGATTGAACCCAGGGATACTTTACCACTGAGGTAAATCCCAGGCTCTTATTTTATTTTATATCTGGGATGAATCCACGGGCGCTTAACCACTGAGCCACACCCCCAGCCCTTTAAAAAATATTTTTATTTAGAGACAGGGTCTCCCTGAGTTGCTTAGGGCCTCACTAAGTTGCTGAGGGTGGCTTTGAACTTAGAATCCTTCTGCCTCAGGGTCCCAAGCTTTGGGATTATAGGCACCTGCCACAGTGCCTGGCCCTTTTTATTTTTATTTTTAAATTTTTTTAGTAGTAAATGGACAGAATACCTTTGTTTTATTTGTTTTTGTGTGGTGCTGGGGATCGAACCCAGTGCCTCACGTATGCTAGGCAAGCGCTCAACTACTGGCCCTTTGCTATTTTTATTTTCTCACTAAGTTGTAGAGGCTGGCAATCCTCCTGCCTCATTCTCTTGAGAGTTGCTGGGATTACAGGCCTGCACCATCTGAAGGCTGCATATTCCTCTTTAACAGCGTGTGTGATGCTGTGTATGAGCCAGCAAGAGCAGGGGAAGGACTTGGGTCTGAGGACTTAGGAGGGCCAGCACTGCATTATTCCATTTAACAYGGCCCCCCAGAGGGCCATGAAGAAGGCAGCGCAATGCCCATTTCACAGAGGAAGGCTCCTCGTCCCTTGGCTGGGCCTTGGCAGGCTGAGCTACAGTCATGGGGTCTGCTTTGTCCCCCTGCCACTCTAAACTCCCACTGGGATAGTTTCCTTACTGTTCCTTGCCCCCTCCTCCTTGTAGCTCAAAGCTT